TCTCTCTCTCTCTCTCTCTCTCTCTCTCTCTCTCTCTCTCTCTCTCTCTCTAGCTTGATATTCTCTGTTTCTTTGCAGCCTTTGCAGCCAGTGGCTCATCTTCAGAAGTGCACTCATCCTCTTTTGCTGAGCTACTACCACTGCCCTCGCCTGCGCTTGCGTCCTCCCTGTCCGCAGGGCTATCACCACTGGTCTCGCCTGCACTTGCGTCCTCCCTGTCCGCAGGGATATCACTCCCATCCTCTTCACTCGCATCACGTGCGGCACTGCCACCACCCCTGCTGCTGCTTGCCATTCGCACTGCTGCCTCCTCCTCCTCCGTGTCTTTAAGGGACTTGCGTCGTCTACCTTGCCCACGTTTGGCCCGTTTTGGTGCAGTAGCTTCTGCATTGGAGCCGCTGCCACCACCACCCTCCACTTCTCCATTTGTTGCCCTCTGAGCTGCTGCATCATCAACTTGCTGCACCGGGGCTTTCCGCGGTCTCCCCCTCCCTTGCTTAGCCGGTTTGGTGGCGGGTTCGAGTGCCTTCGCGCGAGCAGCTCTATATTGCTCAGAGTGCTCAGCCGTCATGGTCTTCGCTGTCCGCTGCATCTCTCGGAGATGCTGCCTGGCGAGGTACTTGGAAGGCCGCATCGTCTTCCTCCATGAATCATTGAGATCTGCCTCGAGCCGAAGGAGATCGCTGCGCAGCCTCCGCCGCCGCAACTGCCCCGGGGCTTCTTGCGGGTCATAATCGACCGCAAAAGCATTTTCGACGACTGGTTCATCATCGTCCTCATCGTCGTCGTCGTCTTCGTCATCGCCCGCTTCAGCCGCTTCGTTTGCCGCACGCAGCCGGTTTCGCCACTCGTCCACCCGCTCTTTTGCATCTGCTGCAAGCTCCTCCTCCGTGAGTACGCGATCCTCCTCCCATGGAATGTCACCGACACCGGTTTCCGACTTTTTTTCTAAGCGGGCCAACAAATGGTGGTTCCATCTGTTGTAAACTAGTGTGCTCAACTTCTTCACCGACAACGCATTTCTGGCCTTGGAGTGGATCCGCTCAAAGAGGCTCCAGTTTCTTTCGCAGGCAGAGGAGGAGGAGCTTTGACCAAGCAGGCGAACTGCGTGCTTCTGGAGGTGTGGCATGTCACTGCACCATTTCTTCCACCATCTTGTGGGTTGTGCACTTCGTGCTGCTGCCCTGGCCTCTTCGCAGTTGAACCTGCCTGTGCCCTCAATCCAACAGTTCACTTCCGCGTCCACCTCCACGTACGTTGATGGCTTGCACCATGAATACACCCATACCCAAAATCCATCTAAGACCTCCGCATCCTTCTCCGGTTGTGTCGTCTTGTATTCCGGATCCAAAAACATCGCCGCACAATGCAGCGGCGAATTCATTGTGTTCCAGCGGCGCATGACAGTCTCCTCCAGCTCGTCTTTCTCGGCATCGCTGAAGAATTCACTCGCCCTTAACATCTCTACCGCACGGTCGAGTCGCCCGTACACCTTGCTGATTGTTGGACCAGGGCTGTCCACCAACTTCAACAGGGTCAGTAACTCTTTCGACGTCTCCTGCAATTTCTCTATGCCAGCCCAGAAACTGTCGTCGAGGATAGAATCCGTCGCCTCCTTCAACAACTGGCGTTGACTCGGTAGCTCGATCCCGTTTTTCCACGCAGGGTCCGTCACGCACGCCCGGAGAGGCAGGTACAGCTGCTGCAGGCTGTCAACCGTGATGAAGTTTGTGGCAAAACGGGTTGCGCCTGGTCTTGCCACAACTTTGCCATTGGATTTCTCGTGCAGCAAGTCAAGCACCCGTCCATGGTTCACGAGAAATTTCGCAAGGTCCAACGCCCGCTGCAGGGCCTCTTCTACCCACAGAATCTTCGAGAACGCCTCAAACATGAGGTCAAGGCAATGCGCTGAGCAAGGCACGGAGTAGATGTGTGGGTAATCCCTCTCCACCATGCGACCCGCGGCCGCACAAACTGCAGCGTTGTCCATTAGGACACCAACCACAGCATCCTCCCCTATCTCCTCTATCACACTCTTCAAGATGGAGTGGTAGGCAGCAGCACCCTTGTCGCGGTTGCTCATGCAGACACTCTTCCAAAACACGGCGCCCCTGGGGAAGGAGACCATCACGTTGATGTGTGGCCTGGACCGCCGGTCTGTCCACCCGTCCAGTTGCAACATGCAACCGGTGATGGGCCACTCCCTCCTCAGTTCCTCTATCCTCACTGCAACCCGTGCCCTCTTGCTTTCGACCCATGTGGTTCGTGGCTTCTCGAACCTGGCATATTGGAAGGACGGGGGTGCATTCTTCAGCGCCTCCACCATCGCCTCCCATTCCTCACTCCTCATCATGTGGAATGGGATGCAGTGTGCCGTCATCCAATCGTTGATCTTCAGCTGAGTCTCCTCATGCTTAGTCAAAACCGCCCCACAGTCGAGGATGGTTGACTGCCGCGCGCGCACCCCTGAACTGGACGCAGCAACTTCCGTGGTCTTGTTTCCCATCACCTCACCAGGCGTGTTCTCGTCCTCCTCGGAGCTCTCCATTTCCGCTGCGGCTGCACCCCCAAGGGCCCCAACCTCTTCCAATGCGGCCTTCTTCCCCCTCTCCCTCCGCTGGTAGTCCTCCTTCGACACAACCCCTTTCAACCGCTCGATTTTGCACCGTGATGCCACAAGAAAATGGCGTCTGGCTCTGGTTGCAGTGCCAGACACCATCAGGTCGCAATAATTGCATCGCCGCTTCTTGTTCCCCTTCTTCGGTTCTCCAATGAAGCCCAAGTCCGTGTAGTGCCTCTTGACAGACTCGGTGCCCTTCTTCGTCATCCTGGAGGCAAAGAAAGAAGGAAACCGAGTTGAACAACCATGACATTGTCAGAGTCGGTCATCCCCCTCTCAACCACCCCCCTTTCTCTACCTCCCCCTATCCCTACCTCAATCAATCAATCAATCAATCAATCAATCAATCAATCAATCAATCGATCAATCAATCATTCGATCAATCAATCTATCATTCAACCATTCAATCAATCAAATAATCAATCAATTTGGTTGGTTGGTTGATTGATTGATTGATTGATTGATTGATTGATTGATTGATTGATTGGTCGAATGATTGATCGACTAATTGATTGATTGTTCACTGCAGCATTTCGCCACCCCATGTGGGGTTGGGAAGTTCCACGAGATCAGATGACAAATATGACAGTCCTGGCAGTTCCGTTCACCACAGCAGGCGACAAAAACAAAAGGGGCGTTGACGGCGGCATTGATGAATCATTCCCTCCTGAAAAAAAAATGGGTAGCATTTCGCCAACCCACATGGGGTTAATCCCACCTCAATGAACAACAGCATTGATGATTCATTTCCCTTAGCAAGGTGAAATGACGACAAAGAATGAATGATTGATTGAATGGTTCATTGATTGATTGATTGATTGATTGATTGATGGATGGATGGATGGATTGATTGATTGATTGATTGATTGATTGATTGATTGATTGATTGATTGATTGATTGATTAACGATTGATTGATTGATTGATTGATTGATTGATTGATTGATTGATTAGGTTGTCCTTTATTTAAAAAAAAAAAAAAACAAAAAAAAAACGCCAGTGTTAGTGTTGCTGATAAGAGCAAACACCACTAACACTTGGGGAGGGAGGGTGCCAGTCCACGCCATCATGTTGCTCAAGGACGGCACCAATGTCATAATCAGATGCAT